ATAAAGAGGGGCTAGAGTTTTGGCTCAGTGGTGGAGTGCTTGCCTTGCACATGTGAGGCACTGGGTTCGATCCTCAGCACCATATAAAAATAAATAAATAAAATCAAGGTAATGTGTCCAATTACAACTAAAAAATATTTTCAAAAAATGTATAATGATAATGATGGTGTTAAGGAAATAGCCTTATTTCCCTATTAGGTTTTTTTCTCAATCTGGAAGGGTATTGAATTGTCCTGAAATATATTTTTGGATTAGGGAGATTGTCTTATGTCTTTTATCCTTTGATTTATCAATGTTGTCATTTATATGAATAGGTTTTCTAGTACAGAAGCAGTCTTTTATTTCTAGGATGAGCTTTACATTTTATGATACATTATATTCTTAACATCCTCCTGCAATCTCTGCTGTATTTTAAGAATTTTACATCAATGTTCTTAGATGAGATTGGTCTCTAGTTTTCCTTTATATATTTTGTAGTTGTTGGGTTTGGCTATGTTAAACCAGGAATATTATGCAGGAACCTGTCTCCTCTGTTCTCAAGATTCCAGGGTCTAGAAAGTATATAATATAATTTTTATATTGTGTGTGTTCTGGGGAGATTGGTAGAATTAATAAAAGACTATGTGATTGTGCTATTTTTTGGGGGGTCAAATTTATCAATATTTTCTACAATAACTGATGGGTTTAGATATTCTTTTCTTCTATCAGTATTGGTAATTTTTGTTTGTCTAGAAACTCAATCTAAGTTTTTATAAAGTATTCACTTATTCTTTCATTTACTCTATAATTGTGGTAATTTCTCCATTTTACATTTTGGGTGTTTGGGTTTCTTAAAATTAGATTAACAATTTTTTTCCTGTTTTATATTTTCTTTTGAAGAACTGGCTTTGGGCTTTCATTATTAGTTCATGCGTTTTGCTGTGTATTATTTCTGCCATTAGTTTTATTATCTTTCTGCTTGATTTAGCTTTATTTTTGAGATTTTCCTAACTACTTTTGTTGAATACTTAATTCATTTATTTTAATTTGTTATTATGTATTAATATAAGTATTGAAGGCTACATATTTTCCTTATACTACCGTTTTGTTCACCATATCCTTCAGCTTTAGATATTTTTGTTAATGTTACCTTATAAGCATTTTGCAATTTCATATTACATTTCCTCTTTGATTGAAGTGGAAGGTGTTTTTTTTTCTTGTTTACTTTCTATACGTTGGAGATTTTTTTACTTTCATATGTGTCGTGTTAGTAATTTCCAGTGTTACTGTATTGTGATTAGAGAACATGACCTGTACTACTTCCACTTTCTCATTCAATATACATCAATTTTAAAAGTATTCCATGGGCCTTTGGAAAAAACTTATATTCTTTGTTTTTAGCATATGAAGAAATTTAGATTTTTCCATTATCTTGATTTTTGACTGCTGTGGTCTGTTTTAAATTGAACCATCTTACATTTTGTTTCTGCTTTTTAATATTTTAGCATTTTATATAGATTTTACTTTATGATTTTTTTGTCTGTGAGGTGCTGGGGATGGAACCCAGAGCCTTGCACATGTTAGGCAAGTGCTTTACTACTGAGCTACACTCCAGCCCTGCTTTATGAATTTTGACGCTATTTTTAGTCTTTCTTCTCTCTTTAAAAATAAAAATAATCTTTTTTTAAAGATTCAGAATATTGCCATGCACAGAGGTGCACACCTATAATCCCAGCAACTTGGAAGGCAGGAGGATTGCAAGTTCAAGGTCAGCCTTGGCAACTTAGTGAGACCCTGTATCAAAATTAAAAACAAAAAAAGGGTTGGTATGTAACTCAGTGGTAGAACACCCCCACATTATTCAATTTTCAGTACTACAATAATGGAAAAGAAAGAAGGACAAGAAAAAAAAAGAAAATGAAAAGAAGATTCAGGGTACTTAGATCTTCATCATACATTACATGTGTTATAGTCATTAACATTATAGTGTCCTTCTTTGTCTTATTCATTTCTTTTTCCTTTAATTCAACTTTTTATGATATGAGTATCATGACTTGCATTTTAAAGTTTTGGCAGTAATTAATTTATTAAACGAATGTTTATTGAACACCTACTATGTGCCAGGCACTAGAGACCAGATGAATGAGACAGACAAGATCTCTGACCTCATAGGGCTTATATTTCAGTTTGAGAGTGGAATACCAAAATAAACAAGTAAAAATAAGTATGTAATATAATATCAGTAGGCTGTGATAAATGCTCTGAGAAAGAACAAAGTAGAATAAGGATGATTAAGGATTAGTCATCTCTATTTTAGATCAGCTAATCAAGAAAGGCCTCTCTGCTTGATATTCATTTGTCATCATTTACTTTCTACTCACTACTTTGGGTTTTTATTTTTCTGGGAGATATGCCCAAATGAGAACAGTAGGGATGTCTGGATATGAATTTCTGATCCAAGTGAACAAACACCTAGCCAGGATGGGGGCTGGAGATAAGGGGAATGAAGGCTATTTTACTTTCTATTCTGTCTGAGCTTGGCTATCATTCATTATGTGTATTATCTTTTTATTTTGTATTATTAGTATTATTATTTTGGTACCAGGGATTGAGCTCAGGAGCACTTAACCACTGAACCACCTCCCCAGCCCTTATTTATTTATTTTTTTATTTTGGGACAGGATCTTGCTAAGTTGCTTAGGGCCTCGCTAAGTTGCTGAGGCTGGCCTCAAACTTGCAATTCTCCTGCCTCAGCCTCCCAAGCCACTGGGATTACAGATGTGTGCCACTGCACGTGGCTGTATTATTACTTTTTTAAAAAAATATTCCTAGTCTTCATTATGATCACTGAATGGATATTCTGTCTGAGGACAGAATTTCCTGTCACTGGGCAGGACTTAGAATGATGGCTGTTTTCTCATAGGCTGAAGCAGGAAACCCGATCTGTAGTTTAGAGGGCTTAACTCTTTATACCCTGAAGTCAAAAAGATGTCTTTTAAACATTGGTCACTCTTTATTTTAAAGAAGTTTGGCATTTGACACTCACTCAAATAAACCTGGACTTTTTTCCTTAGAGATTTTCTTCTATCACTTATGAGAATTTTATTTCACCTCACAAGGGGTAGTCTTTAATTTTCTGATAGTTTTTCCTTATAAGTATATTATATATATATGCATATAATATTTATACATGTATATATATATATATATACATCAGATATGTAGTACATTAAATTTATATAAACCTACACATCCTTAACTCTTGAGCTTGAATTTATTTGGGTGTCTAATAAGTGGCCTAGGGCTGGGGGTGTGGCTCAAGTGGTAGCGTGCTCGCATGGCATGCGTGCGGCCCGGGTTCGATCCTCAGCACCACATACAAACAAAGATGTTGTGTCCACCGAAAACTAAAAAATAAATATTAAAAAATTCTCTCTCTCTCTCTCTCTCTCTCTCTCTGTCTCTCACTCTCTCTTTAAAAAAAAAGTGGTCTAGCTCCAAATAGCACCATTCTGCAGTTTTCTCAAAGACATTTATTAAATAGTCTTTCTTTAGCTCCTTGTTTTGGAAGATTACACATATATGATGATTTGATAGATGGTCTTGTTGTTTCTGGTCTTTCTATACTGTTCTGTTTGTCAAGAACACACTTTCAATCATTGTTGTCTTGTAAAATGCTTGATAACTTACTTATCCCCTTTCCCATTTCTTCTATAGCAGAACATTCTTTAACATCCTTTCCTTTTTTGCAAGTTTATATTTTTTTAAAAAAATAGACGGGCATGATGGTGTGCACCTGAAATTCCAGCAACTTGGGAGCCTGAGGCAGGAAGATCACAAGTTCAAATCTAGCCTCAGCAACTTAGCGAGGCCCTAAGCAATTTATGGAGACCCTGTCTCTAAATAAAACATAACAAAAGGGCTGGGGATGTAGCTCAGTGGTAAAATGCCCCTGGGTTCAATCCCCAATGTTAAAAAAAAAAAAAGTTGAAGTAAAAAAAATAGAAGTTGAGAATTTTCTATATTAGAAAATTGCTTTGAAAATTCTGATTGGAACTGCAGTAGGATATATTATAAAACTCGTTGAGCTCAGAGATGATTAACCACTGAGCCACAAACGTATGAATGAACAGAAATGTATGAATGACCTGCTTGTGTTTTTTGTTACAAATATAAGAACATGGAAAGTATGCACATCCCATTCATGATATAGGTTGCATCTGGAGGGGCAGGGGACTGGACACAAAGCATATTATTTCTATTTGTGGAGAAAAATGCACAAAGCATGCATAAAAATATCAAATGTGCTAATTCTGGGTGGTACTTGGAAATGTGGCTATTTATTATAGCAATCTCTGTACATTTCTAAATATTTGAAATCTTCATAATGTAAAATCAACAAAAACAACAGATAAGACAGGTTAAATAGACTTGTAAATCCCAGAACTACAGCCTATCCAATCTAAGTGGTATAAACAAACTGAGGTAGTATGTGTGTATCTCGACTTTGGAGCTAGACAGTTTAAGTTCAGATTCTAGCTCTGCCACTTGTTAACTTTATGGCCCCAGGAAAGTGACTTGACCTGTCCATGTCTCAGTTTCCCCATCTGTAAAATCATGATAATAATAGCTACCACCTAGGCTGATCATGAGGGTTAATTAAATTAAGATAAGGAACACACTTAAAATATTACCTGATACTTAGTATATGCACAATAAATGTTAGAAGTTGTTATTAGTAGTATGATTATTATAGTTCTTACATATATCGCAGTGTTTTGTGGCCATTTAAAATTTAATGTAAATAGGGGCTGGGGTTGTGGCTCAGTGGTAGAGCACTTGCCTTGCATGTGTGAGGCACTGGGATGGATCCTCAGCCCCAAATATAAATAAATAAAATAAAGGTCCATTGACAACTAAAAGAATATTTTTTTTTAAAATTTACAGGAGTAATGGCATCCAAACTGTGGACCTGTAAACCACATGCTTATGTTACTTAACCTTCATCTGCTGTTTTGCAGGGAAATGGCTCATGCCAAGACTAGCTTCCCATGGGCAACCCCCTTCCATCCTTGCCTCGAGAACCCATCACTGGATTTATCAAGTCATCGAGCAGTTTCTTCTCTTGATCTCCTTGGAGACTTCAAACAGGCCTTGAAAAAAACGGAGGAAACTTCCGTTTATGAGGAGGGGAGCTCCCTGGCCGCCATGCCCCGCCCACTGCGCAGCCGGGCCTTCTCAGAGAGTCACATCAGCTTGGAGCCCCAGAGTACCCGGGCCTGGGGACAGCCTCGCAGGGAGCTCTTTAGCAAAGGGGATGAGACTCAGCCAGATCCTCTGGGAGGCAGGAAGAAGGCCTTTCCTCCTCCTCGCCCTCCTCCTCCAAACTGGGAGAAGTACAGGCTCTTCCGGGCAGCCCAGCAGCAGAAGCAGCAGCAGCTGCAGCAGCAGCAGCAGAAGCAACAACAACAGCAGCAGCAACAGCAGCAGGAGGAGGAGGAAGAGGAGGAGGAAGAGGAAGAAGAAGAGGAAGAGGGAGAAGAAGAGGAAGAAGAGCTGCCACCCCAGTATTTCAGCTCAGAAACCACTGGTTCATGTGCTCCCAATCCTGAGGAGGTCCTAGAACAACCACAACCCCTTGGTCACCGGGAGGCTTCAAGGCAGGGTTCACAAAGCCTCCCAGATCAAGAGGCCTTTGCTCTCCATTCCAGTAATTTCCTGCCTCCAATAAGAGGCCACCCGGGTTCTCAACCTGAGCAGGCTCAGCCCCCTTGCTATTATGGTGTTGGTGGACTTTGGAGGACATCAGAGCAGGAGGCCACTGATTCCCCCAAGTAAGTGTTTGTGAAAGGTATTGGGTCCCTGAAGAAGTAGGCAGCATTAGTTTGAATTCCATCTCTGCCATTTTCCAACTGGGCAGGTAAAGGAAACTATTACTAGCCTCAGTTTTATTACCTAGAAAATGGGTGTGATGATGCCTGCTCCTTGTGGTTGTTGTGAATGTTAAGATAATTTATGTGAAGGACACAGATACATGCTTAGCACTTAGTAGATGCTCAGTAAAAGAGAGTTGTTGCTATTCTTATCCCTAACATCATTATTAAAATACTGCTTTATTTCTTAGTTTTTCTTTAAAATATACATCAGTATCTGGCCCCTGATCCTGAAGCCATGAAACCCTTCTTGCCTTTACTAGGCCTTTCTCAGACATCTGGTTCAGGGTTTTTTTTTTTTTTTTTTTCTGTCTTTTTTTTTTTTTTTTTCACTTGCTCTCCAGAACAAGAGGCCAGCTTCTGGCAACCTGACCTGCCTCTACTTTCGGATAAATAGCCTGCACCTATAAATTCTTCCCCCAACCCTATCATCAAAGGTATTCCTGGGCCTGGGCACTTGTCCCCAGCCCCTTATGTCAGCTAAGTACATTGTCCTTATGACAGCTAAGTGCATTCTTTGTCCTACTTTCTCCCCTCTCTGTTTCCCTGCCTCCCCATATTTGCTCTGGTGGGCAACAGGTGGTAATTAGGTAGACTGGGCAGGGAGGTCCAAGTAGGAATGTGGTCTGAGAGCAGGACTTCCAGTGTCTGCTCACTCCACTGTGACATTGCTCGTTTGCATCCCCCACAGTGCCTGGTTGTCCTTTTAGCAGCAAAGCAAAACCCCAGGACCACCATTGCTCAGTGCTTTGGCTCTCATGTCTTCCTGCCCTCCTGAGGGGAGACATGCGCACTCTTGCAAGAGGTGGGTGCCAGGAGGTAGATATCTTATGAGTGCTTTCCTTAAATCCTTTATAGCAGGAACTTGCTAGGGACATGTTGTTATTGGAAGTACCTTGTTATTGTGTCTTTGATTGACAGAAAAATCTTGTTACTTGGTGTTTTAGTCAGCTTTTTCACTGCTGTGACCAAAGGACCTGACAAGAACAATTTTTTTTTGTTGTTAAATAAGTTTTAGTTATCAGTGGACCTTTATTTTATTTATTTTTATGAGGTGCTGAGAATTGAACCCAGTGCCTCACACATGCCAGGCAAGCACTCTACTACTGAGCTACAACTGCAGCCCCTGACAAGAACAATTTTAAGGAGGAAAAGTTTATTTTGGGGTTCATGGTTTCAGAGGTCTTAGCCCATAGGTAACTGACTCCATTCCTCAGGGCCCAAAGTGAGGTAGAACATTATGGCGGGAGGGTATGGTAAAGTAAAGCAGGTCTGGACATGCGCACCAAGAAGCAGAAAGAAAATAAGCTCAGCTCACCAAATACACACTCCAAAGGCACGCCCTCCATGACACACACCCTCCAGCCACACCCTCCCTGCTTTCAGTTACCCTCAGTTAATCCCTATCAAGGGATGAATTCACTGATTGGGTTAAGGTTCTCATAATCCAATCATTTCACCTCTAAGCCTTCTTTCATTGACTCACACATAAGCCATTGGGGGACACCTCATATGTAAAGCATAACACTTGCCTATCTGGAGGTGTTGGAGCAATTTTCCAGTCCAAGGTGCCACACACAGAGCATGTACAGGGCCTGGCTCCCAGGCACTGAGAATCCCTTATCAGGTCCCAGTGTGGCTGCTTCTCAAAATGTCTGTCTAGTTGGGCAGCATACTTATTGCAGCTAGAAAACACTTCGCAGAAAGTTACTGTAATGGTTACTCATCAGAGCTGGGAGAAGGGAAAGTAGCTCAGCACATAATAGGTGCTGGTTAAGCATTTCAGAAGAAATGAGTAAATGAATGACTAAATGAATGATTGAACATTTGTTAAGCATTTGCTATGTGCTAGACACTGCTAGGCATTTTCTGTCCATTATTTCATTTAATCCACCCTATAGCTCTATTGGCCATTATTATCCCAATTTGACAAATAGGAAAACAAAAGCTTAGCAAATGAGGGACTAACTAATTTGGTGTTATACAGCAAAGATTCAAAGTTAGATCTATGTGATTCTAAAACCTGTGAGTATTTTATCTTCTTCAACAACCTCTCTAGGTAGGACTTATTATTCCAGTCATCTAGGTCTTCAGGAGACCCTCTTCCCTCCTGTAGAGCAGTACTTGTGGGACCTCCATCATCCTCTTTTATGTACCTTCATTCACCTTGGCACTTTGGACCCAGAGATGTAACTACAGATCTTATAAACTGGTCCAGAGATTCTGGGGGTGGGGTGTTCTAGGGATTGAACTCAGGGGCACTCGACCACTGAGCCCCATCCCCAGCCCCATTTGTATTTTATTTAGAGACAGGGTCTCACTGAGTTGCTTAGGGCCTTGCTATTGCTGAGGCTGGCTTTGAACTCATGATCATCGTGCCTCAGCCTCCCGAGCTGCTGGGATTGCAGGCATGTAAGGTGTGTGCCACTATGCCTGGCTGGAGACTTTTCTTTACTGACTGTGGGATACAAGGGGAAAATATATATACATACACACACACACACACACACACACACACATACATACATATATTTGCTTATAGTCCTAGCTTTGGCTGCAAAAAATAAATACTTGAAGATTCTGTGAGTAATGAAAATTTAAGGAAGAGCGTCATTCCCAACATAGCTAACATTTTTTGCCTGTTTACTATGTGCCCAGCAGTATCCTAAGCACTTTCATGGACAGATAGTCCCTGACTTAGAATGATTTGACTTAGGATAATTTGGCTTTATGATGGTACAAATAAAAATATGCATTCAACAGAAAATGTATTTCCTATTTTGCATTTTGATTTTCTTTTCCCGGGCTAGCAAGATGCAGTATAATACTGTTCCAATGCTGGGCAGCAGCAGTGTCTGCAGTTCCCAGTCAGCCACGTGATTACATGGGGAACAAACAAGACTATGCTGTACTGCATGGATAGGCTCTGATGTTCCGTAGATTAGGTGTATTCAAGACACTTTCAACTTATGATATTTTCAGTGTACCATGACTTTATCAAGATGTAACCTCACCATATTGATTGATTTGATCTCCAGAATGATCCTAGGGAATAGTGACAGTGAGTCTCCTCCATTTATTAGACAAGAAAAGTGAGGCCCAGAGAAATGATAGAACTTCATGACAAGATCACAGGTAACCAGACTCCCTGGGTTCTTCATCCCAGGATCTTGAAGGAGATTCTGTTCCAGACTCTAGGATGGCAGAGAGTGCTAACCAGAAGGAAGAAGCTTTACAATTTTGTAAGGAAGCATAGTATTAAAGGCAAGTCGATGTAGACTATTTTATTCTGAAATGCAAACAAACACATGGACATTTCAGCCAAGCTAAGCCACTATGTCTCTGTAACCCATGTACCATTCAACTAAAAATATCAGCGACACACACAGAAGCAAATTAGCAGAATTATCAAATGTTGGTAACGTCTAAAGGCTCTGAGTCAAGGGTAGGTATATCTTGCTTTAGGGACTCTCTGCACTTCCTTCCAGGGCTCTGTGGAAGGACTCTGATTTTTGCTTTGATGTTCACTTTTGAATTCTGAATATGTTCTCACACATCTCCTGTAACTCCTTCCCTATTCATGGAGGTGCTGAGGAGCGCTACCCTCGAGCACAGTGTGAAACACGATCTACTCTAATATGATGCAGGGCTGTGTCTGCTGAGGGACTGTGTCCCCAATTAGCGCATCCTTTCTTTTCTTTTATAATTTCTGACTCAGAACTTTCACACATGCCCTAATATTTTTTTCACAGATAGGACTTCCCTAAGTTCATATTTTCATTATTCCTCCCAGAATGTTCTCTTTTCTTTGTTAACAAAGATAAACTCCAATTAGAAAATTCCTTACATATACGGTTTTATAAGATGTCAAGTTGTCCCTTTGCCTGTATAGTATAATGGCTAAAAGCACAGATTTTAGATTCAAGTTGCCTGGGCAAACCCAGTTCTGCTGTTTACTGGCTGGTGACCTTGAGAAAATTTACTTTACCTCTTGGTGCCTCATGTTTCTCATCTATGAAATGGTTATGATGAGCATTCAGTTATATATCTATATGTGCAAATGTGTGTGTGCATGTGTGTACGCATACACACATGTGTACATATGTGTGGTATCTATCTTAGGACCATTTCTGGAGCATGGTAATCACTGTGTGACTATTAGCTAGCATTGTTCTTATATCAGTGTTATAAGCTTGAATCCCTACATGTAAAATGAATTTCCCTAGGATGAGGAATATTGGCATGCCAAAGTTTCTTTTGTGCAATAAATTAGGAGACAGCATAGCATGAATCAGTAAATAGCTGTGGAGCCTTTTAGCCATTATTTTTGACCTTTATCTAAGAGCTGCAAATAGCTGCAAAAATGACTAATGAGTTTCTCCTATTTTTCCCTTTCAAACAGCTAGAGGTTAGCAAAGGGGTAGTGACATAGACAGGTGGTGGGAGAGAGTGGCTGGTAGGCAAAGAGAATATATATGATGAGGGTGGGCCTCCCCCTTGTAGAAACCCTAGGCAGAATTATTTACTGCACCATCAGTGAAACCCGACATTGTAGCATTTCTCTTTTGTTCTTCCCACCAGACCAGAAGTCTCGATGGCAGAAGAGTCGAAACCTAATCCAGCATGGAACCAGCGCTACTTCTTTCCTGAGGAGAAATTTGCTTTCATGGCCTGGGGCTCTGAGAAGCAGCACCCCAGCCCTGCAGGCTTTGGTGAACCTAAAACAACAGGGTCTGCTCCTCTACTTAAGTTCCTGGGTGTTACTGGTTCCATTTTCTCCCCATTGCACTCTACAGCCATGCAGGAGGCTGGGGCCATTGAGGATATGGTAGAAGTGGAGAGATACTGTTTCTTTTTAGGCCAAAGGTCTGCTCTATAGCAGGCAGTCTCAGAAGAGCTCATGAGAGATATGGTTGGCCATGATAAGTCACTTGCAGGGGTGTTAACCCCAGCCTTGAAGATAGTGACCACTGCCAAGGTCATAGGTCCTTGCTGTGGGAGAGTTGCAATGGAGGGGCTATTTCAAACAGGAGTGGCATCAGGAAAGGAGAAATGATGAGAGTATCCAGGAAAGCCCTTTGTAAGAAAGTCAATTAGACAGAGCCCCAGAGTGGGTGGGAATCCATGAATAGGTAGTACAGAGGCCAACAGACTTGGACGACCCATAGCTAAGGTCTCAGGTACTTCTCCACCATCTCTCCCTTCCACTGGGGCCATGAACCAATAGGAATCATGATCAGAAGCCCAGAGCTTCTGGGGCCTGCCATTTTTTTCTAGATTTTAGTAGGGTGTTAATGACCAAACCAAATTATCTCTAAGGTCCTCCTAATTGCTAAAATGATGGTTATAGAAATAGCCTTCTAAGAATATTCTTAAAGTATGCCTTTACTTGGCTTCCAGAGAGCCCTTGTATGGCCTATTTACATGTGAACAGTGCATTTTATTCCATTTTTTAACAACTCTTTGCTGAAGCAGGGTCCCATTTTACAGATGGGTAAATTAAGGAAGTAGAAAGATCAGCAGTCTTTTTCAACAGAGATGCTTAAATGGTCTCTCTTTGTTTCCACAGACAAGAGTTTCAGCACTTCTCACCTCCTCCAGGCACCTCAGGAATCCCTACCTCTTACTCAGCTTATTACAATATTTCTGTGGCCAAAGCAGAGCTGCTGAACAAGTTGAAAGACCAGCCAGAGATGGCAGAAATTGGCCTGGGAGAGGAGGAAGTGGATCACGAACTGGCTCAAAAAAAGGTAAAGTTTCTTAGTATGCCCTAGGGATTGTTAACATTTGTATCTGGAGGGTAACCAGCTTCTCTATGCCCTCTAAAACTCTTTCATTCCTGTATTTTCAGTATGGAAATCAAACAGTTTCTCTGGGTTTCTCATGGATCCAACTCCAGCTTCTTTTTGATTGAAGAAATAGTAACAGTCATAGTAATCAAATCAGTCTCCCCGATCCTTAAGACCATCATATAAGATAGGAATTGCTCTTTTTTTTGTTGTTGTTGTTGTCGTTTAACCAGCTAGGGGATTGATTTTCCCAAGGGTTATATTCTAAATGATAGATACAGGACTTCAAGTCAAGACTCTGGATTTGTGCTCTACCAAGCTACCCCTCTGAGTTAAGTCAGCCTTGTAGATAACTGAACGCCCAGGGCACATAAGGGCTTCTGCCAGTGAGTTCTAGCCAATGGCAGTGTCATTGATTTTTATTCTCTATGTAACTTTCTGGGAGAGAGAACAGACTTGACTAAGGAAAATAAGGAGAAATTATAGGCTGGCAGACTTTGGTATTTATTTGCAATGATGGTCAATTATCTCTTAGAAATACAAAATAGATAAATGGAGATGATGTTGTTGTTGTTCCAAAACCTCCTTTTCTTCCTCTAAATACCACTAGCCTAGTTTTTAAATCAAGTTCCTGGAATCACTTTGCCCTCCCTGCACTTACCCATTTTATTTCATAAGCAAATAGGGTTGCCATGGCAACCTCAAAAGCCCAATTTACCGTTTTGTGGACATGTGAACTCAATGTAAATTGCTCTTCTGCCCATATTTCCCTTTCAGGACATGACCTGTAGGAAGGTACAGGGCCATTTGCAAAAGTCCTCCTTCCAATTTCCCATCTGAAGCAAAATGTCAGAGAAAAAAATGGAAGCATGCTGGTATCGAAGTTTGATTGCTCCTTTGATTCCATGTTCCCTGAGCATGACAGGGCTGCTCCACGCTTACTCAGGGCCTGGCCTGTCAAGGGGCAAACCTAATAAAAGTCTAGCCAGGAGAAGATAGCGATGATCAGAAATGGCAAAGCACAGAACAACAGACAATGATTTGAAGTGACTGTGGGTGGGCTAGGACAGTTTTTTTGTTTCTGAGGAAGAAAGGTGAGGAAGGTCACGGATTTGCAATATCACAGAGACAAACAGCCATCTATGGCTGGGTCTGTATAACTCCACAGCTGTACATACTGCATTTTCCCTAGGGCTGAGGTTCAGGCTGCAGAATCCTAGTGCTGAGAAACAAAAGGCTCTTCTACTTCATTCTTCCACACATCAGAGCCTGTCAGCAGGGGTGGGTAGGTGATTTTCTAAGTGTCCCTGGCATTGTGTTTTGTGTGGAGGTGCAGACAATGGTACAATAACCTGGGAATCTTTTGATATCTACATATGTTGCCTCATTCACATCACCAATCCCCAGTTCCTGGTGGGTTTTAGAGTTTCCCCCCAATGCACACTTATAACACTTCTGACGAAATCATGATCTCCTGCCTTTTGAACACTTCTAAAATATAACAACAGGCTCTAGAACCCAGAGGAAACTCTCTTAGTCTTGGTCACCTTGGACCTCTCTAAATAAATGACCAGTGAGGAACACATTCTAGAAAACTGGAAGCCAATGGTCCCAGAATACCAGAGCTGGAATAATACTAAAAAGAAGCACTGAAGCATGCTTCCTACATGCAAGATACTATTCCAAGCAGGTAACATGTTAAATCATTTAATCCTCATAACCACTCTATGAGATGAGTATTATGGTTAGTCTATTTTTTTTAGATGGGGAAATCGAAGCACAGAAAGATTGAGTAACTCGTTCTAGATTCAAACCATTACTTTGTGGCAAAGCTGAGGTTCCAACACAAGTAGTATGGCACTCAAGTGCATACTCCTAACCACTTGCAATACTCTCTAAAACAGCTACGGGTGACCTGAGTTGCCTACATGCCTGTCAGAAGCTTGCAGCTAGGTGAGTCTCCTTTAGTTTAGGGGATCTTATAGTAGTAGTGATGCTACTACTGCTGATGGTGGTGGTGGTGGCGGAAGTGACAGCAGCATCAATTAGCATGCATTGAGCACTTCATGTTCCAGACACAATAGTAAATATTTTACCTCTGTTATCTCAACCGCTATCGCAACAACCAGGTGCAGGGAGTACTTATTCAGTTTGTAGATGTGGAAATAGAAGTCTTAGTGGGATTAGGTATCTTGCTCAAGGTCAGAAAGTTGGAGGAGGTAGAATTGGAATCCAAGTGTCTCTAACTCTAAAATTCCATATTGCCTTCCTGTGGTCCCAGAACTGGGATCACACTCACACACATGACTTACCACAGGAACAACTTCAAATTTTTCTGAAGGGTTATAATTCTAGAAAACTTGAGAATTCTGGATAAAAAATAAGAAAGAGAGGAAGATCATTGAAAGAATCCTTCCAGAGCTCCCAGAGAACGGCTTTCCATAGTGAAGGTGGGAGAAAAGCTGGGCCCTAAAAAAAAGAATCATAATACCCAAAGGGAAGAATGAGCGGGTAGAACTGTAGAAGCATCAAAGGAACATAGGGGTAAATATGGGGAACATAGAGAACAGTGAGGAGCTAATCCTGAAAGATTTTGAGGAGTGAAATTAGAATGATAGGGGGGGACAAGATGGAATGATTATAATATTAATAACAGCAGCCTAGATTTTATTGGGCACTTACTCTGTGCTAATCCCTTTGCATGTATTATCTCACTGAATCATTACCACTCAGTGAAATGGGTGCTGAAAATATCCTCACAACTTCTACAGATAAAGAGAAGTTCATAAACGTCAACTCATCCAAGGTCCCAATTAGGAAGTGGCAGAACTAGAAGTCAAACCAAGTCATGGTGACTCCAGAATGTACACTCCTATCCAAAGGCCTGGAAAGCCAAGCTAAAAGGCTGGGAGTGTAGCTCAGTGGAAGAGCACTTGCCTAGCATTCTCAAGGCCCTGGATTTTGTCCCTAGCACATGATAAATAAATAACCAACCAACCTAAGAAGGATCTTAGGCGGAGGATGTAGCTCAGTGGTAGAGCAATTGCCTAGTATACACAAGACCCTTGTTCCATTCCCAGCACCATCACAAAGGCCAAGCTGTGGGGGCAAGGACCTAGCCCAGTGCTATAAACAGAGAGATACTTCAGTGGAATGAAGGAGAATGAATGAAGTGATCAAAAATGACGACACATGCTTTTCCAACCTAGGATCTCACAAACATCTCACCTCACTCCTATTTATCAAACAGTCTCAACAAATGTTCAATTGCATTGAGCAAATAAGGCTTAGCCCTTGGGTAGCACTTGTCTAATGCCAAGAAATCTGATGATGACATGGAGATGCCTACCAGACAGGGACAGCAGATGCCTGTCCAGAGCACCAGAATTGCTCACCATTTGCTCCGATTTTCTTGGTTTCCAATGACTGGGGTAGAGCCTACCATCAGTTATGTGGATCCCAATATAAGAGTGACAGGCTCTGATCAGTTTCTGTTGGTACCCATGCTTATCATTGGTCTTCTCCTGTTTAACTCCCCTAGATACAGCTTATTGAAAGCATTGGTCGAAAACTTTCTGTCCTGCGAGAGGCACAGCGAGGGCTGCTGGAGGATGTGAATGCCAATTCTGCCCTTGGGGAGGAAGTGGAGGCTAACTTAAAAGCCGTCTGCAAATCCAATGAGTTTGAAAAATATCGCTTGTTTATTGGGGACCTGGACAAAGTGGTCAACCTGTTGCTGTCACTTTCTGGACGATTGGCCCGGGTGGAGAATGCTCTCAACAGCATTGATTCAGAGGCCAATCAAGAGAAGGTAGAATTGGGGTCCTTGGGGATGTGGATGGAGAGAAATGCCAGGTGTTTCTCCTTAGGACTCTCTCTTTCATGTTTGGCTATTATGAGAGGCAGAAGAGTAGAATGTTAGCAGTGTGAGCACTGGCTTTCAAGTGTCCCCCAATTCTAACTCTACCACTTACTAGCTGTGTAACTGTGGACAGTGTACTTAACCTCACTCTCTCTCAATCTCTTCATTTGTACAATGAGGTGAACACACTACCTGCCATGTCGGGTTGTTGTGAAGATGAAGTTAGATAATCCATGTTAAATACTGAGGCAATCCAGGGTAAATACCGAGTTGGTGTTAGCTGCCAGTGGTAGTGATGGTGGTAATGGCAGGAGCAGCAGCAGCAATTTTGCCTCACTCTCTCTAGAATTGGAAAGGGAGTTTTCATCAAGCAGTTGAGATGGAGAGACTGTCAGTTTCACAGGTTGGCACACACTGTGTCCATTCCTGAACCAAACTGCAGCACCTTTCTCTATATAAATGGCTTTGAAATCACCACAATAAGGGATGCATATACATGTGCACATCCACTCAAATGGAGGCACACGCCATAGAGAAAGCATTACCACAGTGATGGTTCATGAGGCTGCTCTGTTAGAGCCTTCCCTGATCGCCAAACCCAGTGACAGTTCACAGATTAAAGACAGCCTTAGAGAAGGAAAGAGGTTCTAGCACATCCCCCTCTCCACAGTGGCTGTGACGTCTGTGCTCCTCCAGCTACAGGAGAGAACGGCATTTCTATGGCGGTGGCCTTTACATTGGGAAATCTAGGAGTGATCAATTAGCAGAACGGGTAGCTGCTTGGTGGCTGCCTCCCTGGTGAGCACTGCTAGGCAGATGCCTGATAATTAGGAGAGCACTTAATTGGTCCTCTGCTTCCCCAGTTGGTGCTGATAGAGAAGAAGCAGCAGCTGACAGGCCAGTTAGCAGATGCCAAGGAGCTGAAGGAGCACGTGGACCGCCGGGAGAAGTTGGTGTTTGGAATGGTCTCCCGCTACCTGCCTCAGGATCAGCTCCAAGATTACCAGCACTTTGTCAAGATGAAATCTGCTCTTATCATTGAACAGCGAGAGCTGGAAGAGAAGATCAAGCTTGGGGAAGAGCAGCTGAAATGTCTCAGGGAGAGCCTACTCCTGGGGCCCAGCAATTTCTAATTCTCTTAGCAGACTGCCACAGCAGCCCTGCCTGGCCACAGTGGGAAGGAAGTGCTTTCGATCTTCAGTAGTGGTTTGTTAACAAGTAAACAGCAACAAGTTAGTGATTCATCCCAGCCCTCTACCCTGGCTCTGTCTCACTGCTTCTTCCCTAGCAGTGGTCCCAACCAGTGAGGGGACCCTAGGGGGTCATCAAGCTTCTGCAGGGAGCTGCGGCAAGGTGTGATCACACAACCACATTCTCCTTCCCACAGTGTATGTGGGCAAGCAGTCACTGCCCACAGAATCACCAAAGTGCCTTTATTCTCTCTGTACCCGCACACCAAAGACCAAGAACTCCCCACCCATCTGTGCAGCTCCATTGTGCTCCAGGGCTTAGGGCCCAGTCATCTCCCACAGAGAACTGCCTGACTTGAGGGCATTCATCTACCACGATTTTCAGAGCCTCACCCAAGCTTTGTAGTGGGAGGTATAGAAGGAGGGATTGTATGTGACAGAAGATGGGCAAAGGTAGGGCATTCTTAGGTGGCCCTCAGGAAAAAGCCAGGCTTAAAACAGTTGGCTCCACTTCTATCTTTCCTAGAAGCTAGTTGAGGGGAAGAGGCCTACTCCCATCCTTGACTAGTGAGGCCTTCTTCCTGTCCTCAGACCTTAGGCCTATCACCTCATATTTGGTCTTGCCCTTGTATCACTGGGAGTTCCAGGTGCCTATTCCAGGACTTCACACTATGGGCTTTTAGTAGCTACTCCAGTTGACTTCTAGATATAGGTTTCATTATTGGGGGAGAGGGTTCTTGTTATATTTTCAATGACCTTTTGATTGTATTTATTTTCATGTTTTGATTGTTTTTTTTTTTTCATTTTTTGAACTAATAAGGTGAGGAGAGGGAAGTTAGAGAGGGGAAAGAAAAAGAGGGGAAGAAGAGCATTTTCTGCAGATCAGACTGAGTCTAGGTAAGCAAGTACTGAGGCATTGAATTCTTCCCCACATAGCTACAAGTGTCTAAGAATGGAGTTCTTCCTTTGAACTCCTAGCCACCCTACCATGGCCTGCCCATGTTCTTCCTTTGAAATCTAGACGACCGTGAACTTAGCATACCCCAGCACAGTTCAACTTTTTTTGTGCTAATATTTGAAACCAAAGAAATTTCCCCAAATTAACAATAATTGCCCATTTCTCTAGCATCTCCAAGTCATGGGATGGGTGGAGGCACTCCTCTAACAACTTTTTATCTCAGCCTGTGACCTGGCTCAGGGAACCCAGACTATGATAGCTGGGAACAAATTATGATCCAGCCAGGATCTTAGGCAAAGGTAATCCATCCTTATCTTTGCAGGCTGTGTGCCAAGAACCCCAGTAGGTGCCTGAAGCTAGGGGTAGTAACCAAAACTTATATGTACTGTTTTTTCCTATACCTCCTACAGCATTGCCATATAGTACCAGAGTTAATCTATCTTCCTTGTTTTATGCCCTGGTGTCTCCTTTGCTTCACTACTCTTGCACTTTGGAACCATTAATAAATAAAAAAGGGGTTACTTGAACAGAAACACTGCAGTACTGCAACAGTCAATCTGATAACTGAAATGGCTCCTAAGTAATTAAAGGGAGGGTAGCCCATACAGTGTGGATATGTTGGACAAAGGTATGTCCCAGGTAGGATGTAGCAGGATTGCATCATTCTGCTCAGAATGATACACAAATGAAAGCTTATGAATTGCTTATTTCTGGAATTTCCCACTTAATATTTTTAGACCATGGTTGACCACAGAAAGTAAAACTGCAGATAAGGGGGGACTACTATACAAAGAACTGAAGTTGCTGCTATTGCCAAGGCCCTGAAACTTGTAGCCAGTTTCTACCCTGGAAAAGTTAGTCATTGGGCAATGGCAGAAAGGGAATTATAACCAAACTGTGTCCTATTACCCAGCTCATTGTCCCCATTGCTTGCTAACTAGGGTCAATCCTTGGCATTACACAGCCCATCTAATCCCATCCCAGCCAAGCCAGGGCATCTTGTTACTGCTGAGTTCCTCAGAGCCCTTGCAATTTAACCGTAGCAGCAGGGGTACCTCACTCAACCAAAGAATTTGCCAAGGAACTTTGCTGCTGCTACAAATACTGGTTACTAATTTCAGTTTCCTCTATATTGTGTCTGAAAACAATAGGAAAATCTTGGCCAGGAGGGTATCCTGAGGGTGGTGGTAATCCTTTATGTGGGGACCTGGGTATGCTCTTAGTACTGCTGCCAATGCCAAGACCACTGTTAGTATGTCAACCTTGTCATTCTCCCCTCTGGTGGAAGATTCTACTCTATTCAGGAGGGTTGATGGCTTTTAAAGGGCTGGATTTACCCAAGTGAAACTTGAGAAATTTGGGAGAGTGCTTTGAATATAGGCCATTATTGCCACCTTTCAAAATGAAACAGAAGCCCTAGGTAAATAGTAAGCCCAGTTGAAATGTCTTTTATTAGGAGATGATGCCAATATGTTCCATCATTACAAGATTTTTTGGCTGGAATAGATATTTTGTTGGGGCAGGGGTACTGGGGATCGAACTCAGGGGCACTCTACCACTGAGCCACATCCCCAGCCCTATTTTGTATTTTATTTAGAGACAGGGTCTCACTGAGTTGCTTAGCACCTTGCTTTTGCTGAGGCTGGCTTTGAACTTGCGATCCTCCTGTCTCAGCCTCCGGAGTCACAGGGATTACAGGTGTGCGACACCACGCCCATCTGGAATAGATATTTGAAGTATGTACCCAGGGAAAAAAGTGGTCAACTTAACTGGTCGCCATGGCATAGCTAGTGTGTTTGTGTGTGTGTGTGTGTGTGTGTGTGTGTGTGTGAGAGAGAGAGAGTGTGTGTGTGTGTGTGTTTTATTTTTTTTAGCCATCATTACATTGGTTTTACCTTAATTTTGTGATACCAAAAATATTAAGTCTGTTTTTTGTTGTTGTTGTTTGTTTGTTTTGTTTCTGTGGTGCTGGGAATTAAACCCAGGGCCTTGCACATGCTAGGTAAGCACTCTACCACTGAGCTACAACCCCAACCTTAACACTGTTATTTTTGTACCACATCCCACCTCAAATTAGTTTCTAGAGTTGGAATGAGAACACAAGGATGCTCATTTTCACATAGAACCATAGGTCCCAAAATACTTAAAAAGTAACCCCCAAACTCTATTGAGCAGTAGAAGTTTAGTAGATAAAGGTGAACTACTAAACAGACACTGGCATATAGCACCTGCCTGCCATGGCAGTCCCCTTGTGAGAGATAGTGCTACAAAGCTGCCAGTATTATCTAAGATGCAATAGTTCTCCCCTATTCTCAGTGTAAGGGGCTCAGCCTTCTTCCAAGGCCTTTGAGGGGGTAGCAGTTTGGAAGACAGGCCAGATGGTATCCCCAAAGATAGTTATTGGTCTTGACTTCTGCTCTTTCCCTTCAAATATTTACATTGCCCCCTATGGGGAAAAAGGAAAGCTGATGGTGGATTGATAGAAAGGAGTCCAGTAAAAGAGTTACTATCAGTTGTCCCCTCTACTTCCCTCATCCCCAGGGCTCTGGATAGTTGAATCTCCCGCAGTGAGTCCCACTGTTGTCTCACAGCTGGACACTCATCCAGGATCTAGAAGTAAATGCCAAAGTGGAGTCCAAGAGAATGAGACAGAGATACTGAAAATAAAGCCCTAGCATGGGAGAGAATAGGAGAAGGAAGGAAGGACAGAGGGTGAAAAGATGAAATGGCTCTTTCAAGGCTGGGTTCAGATTCTGTTTTCCATTTAACTTCATGTGCCAAAAAGCTTCCCCAGGTCATCAGAGCCACATCCTGAACCCCAGCCTCCCTGAGGGTGCTGCTTTGCCAGTAGCAGGCTCCAGACAGAGGAAACTGGGCACATTTCTGGCTACTTCCACCCATCTGGAGCTTGGCAACTCCTGCTGTCTTGGCCAGAGGAGTTGCCTATGCCAATAATATTTCTGTAACAGCATATTGTACTATTTGAAGATTAGTAGATCTTTAGGGGGTGGGTGGGTCATGGGCCATTTGTATAGATAAAGAATCAGTGTTTGTTGTACAACTGTGTGGGGGGGTATCAATCCCAGGTGAAGCTTATTGTTTTGAATCTTACTGTCTCTATATTTGTGTCCTCCACCACTCCCTTCTTGGCTGACATAGATATGCCTGCCAGATTGTCATCAAGGGTCATATTTTAATAAAAGGTGCTAAGGACAAAAAATAATTGTCTCATGTGTTTTGACTCAGGTTATGAAAATTCCTTAATATTCTGCTGAGAAGTATCTCAAAGGAATTTGATCACCTATCTATTGTCTGTCATAGAGAGCTTTGACAAGCAGAGCCCTCCTACATTCCTAAACCTCTACTTTGAGCTCTTAGGGATGATATTGATGCTATACCATATATTATCCCTAGTAAAATTGCAGGATCTGACATAGCCTTTTAAAAGGAACAGCTTTTAGACATCTATTCTAAGAACAACTTGACTAGGAGACACAGAGTTTATGCCATTGGTCAATTTCTCTTGTTACAACAAGATTGAAGCAAGGCATTTTTCAACTTAGAAGAAGTTCAGGACCACAAGCTCTGTCCTTTGGTTCACTGATATATTTCTTGCTCTTTGGGTAGTTATATTGGTCCATTTTTCCATTATTATAACAACATACATGAGCATAGGTAACTTTACAAATTAAAGAGGTTTATTCAGGTCACAGTTCAGAAGGTTCAAAGGCATGATATTTGCATCAGTTTAACTCTGGTGAAGACCTCATGGTGGATGGTGCCACAGTAGTGAGAACACATGTAACAGAGAGATCACATCACATCAGGGTGCCAAAGAGTGAATCAGGGGTCAGCCTCCTGTTTTTGTTTTTGTTTTTTTGTACTAGGGATTGAACTCAGGGGTGCTTAACCACTGAGCCACATCCCCAGCCCTTTTTGATATTTTATTTAGAGACAGGGTCTCGCTGAATTTCTTCAGGCCTCACTAAGTTGCTGAGGCTGTCTTTGACTTGTGGTCCTCCTGTCTCAGCCTCTCCAGCCACTAGGATTACAAGCATGCACCACTAGCCTGGATAAGGCTCATGTTTTTATAATGTGCTCTCATGATCAGGTGTCCCATAAAAGTTAATGTAATTCCTTATGAGGACATGATCCCAATGACCAAAGGATCTCCAACTAGGCCCCACCTCTGTTGCCACACACTAAGAACCAAGCTCCAAACATATGAACCCTTAGGGGACAAACTGAAACTATATTCAAACTACAGCATTAGTCAATGACACCATTATAATTAATATAACCTAACGCTCAGTATTCAATATTGAAGATTCAATAATAACAGTAATCTCAGGTATAGACCTCAGCAGTATACACATTCCAGTTCTAAAGTCTAGCCTGATCAGAAGTAAACCACCTTCAAGACTTCTTCCAATCTTGAGTTCTGTCTGCTAGTATCATCTTACTTCTAGCTGATTGTCTAGTCTCACAACTTCACCTGAGCTCCCTGGAGAG